GTAAAAAAAACCGTAAAACAAACGCTAAAAAAGAATCATAGCCGGTGAGCAGCGGCAGCCAGACGCGCCAGCGTTCACTCAACCCGGAAGTGACCCGGAAGTGACTTGCCTCCCTTGGTCAGGAAGGCTAAAAGGTTGGGCACCATGTTTTAAAGCCAATGTGGAAAGCATCAATACAGGCCTAGAGCACCCTCCTGCGGTCTAAGGTGAAAATATCATGTGAAATGATATACAGTAAACATTCTCTAGTACGGACTCCTGTTTGCGCTGTCCAATCCGTCCTGATAACAGAAATTCTTCATTTGGGAAATGAGCATGGTACATGTCCTTTATGAACCTGCAAGTATGTTGACAAAATGCACGTGTAACAACACAATCAATAAAATACAAAAATATACTGTCCAAAAACTGTTTATATAACAAAAACTGCAATACAGGTGTATCCAAAAAAAAATCACAACAGTAAAATACATACAGTATTTTAACGTTTATTTTTTCTGTCTTGGGAAAAAAATGTGTCTATTTTGGATTGTTTTGTTGGATGCATTCTTTGGTTTATGACAATGTTTGCCTGCGTGTCATACAGTTTTCTTGCTAGTTGCAAGTAACTGTCCCATTGATCACCGATGTCTGGTGATTCTTGTGCATACTGATGGATTTGTTGCCATTTGCATTGCTTCCTCGCTGGATGGTGGCTTGTCATCAGGAGTTGAATCGATGCCTTGTTTTTTAAAGTTTCGTAGATTTGCGTCTTTCCGACTCCAAGTGTCTGCTGGATGCTTTTAACTTTGTGTCCAGCCTCCCTCAAACGGATGCATTTCACTCGCTCCGCTACAGTCGTTACAGTTCTTCTACATTTCGATGCCATGATCTACACGACGTAAGTGAATAAAGTTAAAATCTTTCGCAATTACAGTAAAACGCACGCCAATAAAATGTCACTTACACGTGTTCGTTTCGAATCTGATGAATGAAAACGGCGAAGCGAACACGTTTCTTCTGTCGTGTCGAGTGGGTGCTGCTTTTAAGCTAGTGCCGCGTTCTACAGGACGTAAGTGAATAAAGTTAAAATCATTCACAATTACAGTAAAACGCACGGCAATAAAAACTCACACGTCGTCGTTTCGAATCTGATGATCGAAAAACGCGAAGTGAAAACGTGTATCCCGTCGTCTTTCCGTTGCATCGGGTAGGCGTTACGTGTATTTAAGCTCCCGCGGCATTACGCCTCCATCCGGGTTACTGCTAGTGGAATTTCCGCTTACGTAAGTTCCGGTAACATGTAATATCGTAGTCAAAATGATAATGCATAGGTTTTTTTACGGGTGAAGGATATTCATTTTCATAGAATTCCGGGGATGGGAATATTTACTGTAATGCGTTCATAATTTCACACATAAATCGCTCCGGAGTATAAATCGCACACCCGGCCAAACTTAGAAAAAAACTGAGATACGGTACATCACCATAATAAGATCTTATTTATTTATACAGGCATGATTTGCGTACCATTACTTGACTCTCATACAGGTCTAAAAACAAGCAAACCATTGTGAAAAATACTACCAGTGTGGTGACGCTTGAGTGACAATGCTGAGGCCACTCAGCAAAACTCCCCAAAAAGTAGAAGCACAGCTTGGATGCTTGCCAAACTGAGCTGTGCTTTCACAGTCGATGCTCAAATGCCATTTTTTTGTGTGATTAAAAAAAAAATGGACCACAGGGCTCTACACAAACTTTTGCACTGGTAGCACTGGTGTGACCAATTTTTTTCATTTGGTCGCATCAGCATAGATTTGGTTGCACCCTTTTTGGGCCTGTACAGCGTGACCATATTTGTTGATGTATAGTTGTCTCAATTGGCATACCATAGTTTTGTATGATGTCAAACATTGACAGTGACTGAATATTTGCCAAGTATTTTAGTGTCACAACAACTTTTTTGCAACGAGCAGTGGCTGGAAGGCTTAATCCTGATACACATTCCCTATTCTGTGTACAGTCTGACAGATGGACAGAGTTGGAGCACCATAATTAAAACAGGAACTCGTGCCGTTCAACCAAATTCAATTTTGATGAGCACACAGTGGAGAAATGGGAGCATTTGCGAACATATTGATTGCAATGTCAAACGGTGTACCGAAGTAAACCACTTCAAGTTGTTTTTTTCAACATTTTGACCTGCAACTCGTACAATTCCTTATATAATAACAACAAGCTTTAGTGGAGAAGTGACAGTAAGGACTAAGATGAAGTACTTGCGCAAGTGTGCTTACTCTATTACAACTGGGGATGTGGCTATGTTCAGAACGAACTTCAAGCACCGGGTCCGTGATGTCATTCTGGTCTTGCCCGTAATCAAATTAGTTTCGAGTTAACTCCCTGCTCCATTCGCAACAGTGAGAAAATGATATTTTTTTGTTTTAAACCAAAGAAGTTTAAATAGTTTCTCATTAACTGCCGAAAAATGGGCGTTAGCTCCCAAAAAAACTGGTGAGGGGAATTCTGAACAGCTCCAATTACCGCTTAGTGTTAGCTCAGTGTAAAAAATGTCAGGAAAATCCGACTAAGACATCTGAACTTCATTTGGGGCTTATCAGAGCCACACAAATGGTGGCAGGTGTGTGGCGATTCCCTTTTCACAAGAGTTTGAATTTGAATGGGTAATTATCACAGCTCCATCCCCAGTTTTAAAACGGTGTGCGCATGTGCAGCTACATTAAAAAGTTGTGCTGACAGGAGAATGAGCTTGTTGATAGCGCGGTTTCAGTTGAGGTCATGTCATTTTAATTTGCCCATTTGACCAGTTCAATGTAGGGTGCCTCAATGGATGCTCATCATCTTGTTGTCATTAACGTGACCTCTGCTTTGTGTGTTCCAGCAATGCTGAGGGCGAGGACTACCTCCGCCAGAGGAGGTTACAGCTGCCCTTCAGCCTCACCACGGGCGAGGCTGTGCTTTACAACACCGGCCCAACCATGGACCTCACGCAGACGCAGTTCAACAAAAAGTTTAACAACAATGATGACATGGATGTCAGCAAGGAGACGCATTTCCCCCGCTCACTCCTGGATTGCTTCCTTCGGCAGGATGAGTCCGCCTACAGGCACACGCCAGAGGTGCACTTTCCTGTGGATCAGGTCTTCATGGACAGTCGAGCGCTGGTGAGCGTGCCCAGTAATGCTTGGAAGGACACAGGCGTGGGGGCCACTTCTAGCGCCCCCATTGTGGTAAAGGAGGAGGCTAAGCGGTCTGTGATGGCTATGATCGACAACCTGCAAGAGATGGCGCAGAAGGGTGACTTCTGCAGCGCCCTGGAGAATCTGGAGGTGGATGACTCAGAGCTGATGCAGTGGGAGGAGTCTCTCAAGCGCTTGGGTCAGGAGGGCGACCAGCAGGACAGCGTGCAGTCTGAGTTGGATAACGTCCTCATCAACGAGATATTCGACCATATTGATTCTGTTTTGTTCAAGGAAAATGGTGACGAGTGCCCTGCCGCTTGCCTGAAGCAGGACGCGTTCACGCAACCACAGCAGCAGTTCCCGACATTATCCCAGGATGGGAATTTCCCTCAAACCAATGGCTTCTACACGGCTCAAACCTTGGTGGGATCTGCTCCGGCTTTCAGCAGTGGCCAGAAACTTTCCCACTGTGGACCTCTGCCGGGTGCCACAAATGAGCACCAGGTTTCTTTCCAGCAGCTGCAACTTCAGGACATTTTCAGCCCAGAAATAGAACTCCCAGAACTTATTGTGCCTGACTCTTCTGCTCGTGGTGCTCCGGTCCACTTTCCAAGCTTTGAACAGCAGCAGCAGCCGATTCTACATCAACAGAATAATATATACTCAGTTGAGCCACACATGATTCCTTGCCATGACTTGAACAATCACAATGCCGCCATCCCTGACCCTATAACTTGTCCTCCTACGTGGTCGCAGGGCCATTACAAGATGCCCCATTCATCCGTTACACTCAATGATCCAGTTTTGGAAAGCCAAACATTCCCATGTAACGGCCCCTGGCCAAGAGCAGTCAACGGTCTGGACCAACCTCAGCAGGGCATGCTGGTGTGCGACCGGGTGGCCAATCAAAGCAGCTGCATGTACGTGCAACCCCCGACGCTTGCACAGTCCTCGTGCCACAGGGGAACGTGCCTGAATCAAAGTCCCCTGCAGACCTGCTGCTCCATCCAGTGGGGTAACAGTCAGCCTGTGGTGGACACATCAGCCACCACCCAGGAGAACGCCAACATCAGTTCCATGACAGTGCCATCCAACGTCAACGTCGGCATGAGTCTTTAACCATCTTTGCTTCCAGGAATGATACGTGCAGGTACAAATATACGTTCAAGCTCATTTGTTGACTTTGCCAAATCACTAAAAGTGACATGATAGTTATTATCCGATAGTGGAATGAGTTAGTTAAATTTCCAGAAAAATATCGATGTGTCAAAATGGCACCACAATTCAGTCCGATAAAATCTCATGTAACCAGGAAGTAGTCTGCAACAATCAAATGGGTTATTAAAAAAAAGAAAACATTTTGCGTCCAACCCCTAATCCAGTGCTTCTCAATTATTTTCTTTTACCCCCGCGTCCCCCAACAAGAAGAAAATAATTTGTGCCCCCCACCCACTCTCTGCCGTCACGATAATGATCATTTGCTTCTAAAATTGTGATAAGTACACTTCTGCATTACATTGTATCCTTCTTAACATGAATGAAAAAAGAAAGAAATCTCGTTCAATTTACAGCAAACAATAACTTTACTAACATTGTTTTTTTAGTCTGTACCAGAAAAGATTTTAAATGCACCAATTTGCCTGAAATTTAAAAAAAAAAAAGTGTTTAAATATTTTTGACCAACTGACCCCGTGATAATTTTAGAGTTTACCCCCAGCGAGTCCCAGGGCCTCGCTGATCAGAAAAGTATGACTCCCATTATGCATTTAGAGAGTCCCAAATTTCGAATTCTGAAATGGTCTACTTATTCAATTGCATATGATAATAACACAAACAACAACATATACATATAATTATAAACAAATGCTGCAAATATTTAAATAATTCAGTAGCAGGCCTGAGGATTTCGGAAATTCACGGTAACCGTTTTTCAGTTACGTCGGATTACCCAATGGGAAACCACGGTAACTAATTTTGGGTTCCATAAACTTTCATCATGGGAACCCATTTTTCTATTTTGACTGATATTCATAATCAAGAATTCTGAAACTCAAAAGGATAATGTTTCATGGGTAAATGTTTGAAAACTATCCATTAACAATGAACATTACATCAGCAGCTGTGTACTCCAGATTTATTCAAAAAAATAAATGGATCAAAATGTGGTGTAGTCATATGGCATCATGAATACAGCATACCACAAAATCAGAGTAGTTTTTCCAATCTCACACTGCAAAGATTAATTTCCTGGTAAGTATTGATGTGGCTTGACATCCTCTTTCCAAAACGATGCATGTGTAATCTACTATCAATTTGACGAAAGAATCTCACACACGTCATCATTAGTTCTACCAACAGTTAACATTAGCATTACTACACCTCGTGACGAATGTTTTATTCCTAAAGTTACCATGCTACAACCAGTAAATTATAGAATAACCAAGACTGTTTCATAATATTTTTCATAGCGATTAGCCTATACATGTAGATCTCATGACCAACTTGCCTCGTAATCGTGCCTCTCGTATCTCGCTCTCGTGTTCTGTGCATATGTCACAAGTGAGTTTAGTGATACGCCCTTCAGACGATTCATACGAAAAATCAGACTGGCATTCCCATTTCTTAAATGTCGTAATTAGTAGACCTTTGTGAGTTTTTTTCACCGCCATCTCAAACTTTCATCCACGCGATTCCTCAGTTTGCGGAATAAAATAGCAACCCGCATGCGCATATAACGTTATCTGTTCCGTCCCCCCAACACTGAAAACAAATCGAAAGTAAATTAGAAGAAACACACTCACACACCACACCACAAACACTCATACAGACACAGTGAAATCGCGTTGATCACACAAGAGAGACTTGATCGCGTCCAGTCAAGTCATGTGCGGTGACTTTTATGGTTAAACGATGCCACGGAAATGACACGCTACCAGTAACAATCGTTACCGTGAAATCCTCAGGCCTGCCGTAGTTTTTTTTTTTGATGTTGTTGTTTTGACTGAGAAATTTCCTTGCGTCCCAAAATCGCACATTATTTGGAACTGTGCGTCCCGCAGGAAAATTATGCGTCGAGGACGCGGGACGCAGAGGTAATGAGATGGCTGCTGACCATTTGAACCATTGCACCATTCTGAAAACCAAAATTAAATAAATCAATAAATAATATTAATACATTCAAATTCAGTTCAGCAACATTAACGTTGGAGCAGAATATATAAAACATTTGAGTCTACAAAACAAAAATGAATAAAACATTTTTTGCAAATACCCCCCCCCCCCACACACACACACACACACATATTAATGGCTACGTCGAGCACATTTTGCAGTGCTCAACTTTTCCAGCGGCTTATCAGCGTCATTCAGGTATCTTTAAGTTAACACACCGGTCTTTCCTCGTCACCCACTCTAGTCACAGTGAAGCCAAGCACAACATACACTTCTTCATATTTCCTTGTCTTAGCTTTCGGGTGACTTTGTTATGTCTCATTATCTTCGTCTCTCTCCGCCTTTCTTTTCATCTAGTCTCTTGGGGGTTTGTTTACTGCACCTAATATCGCCTGCTCGGTGCAAAAAAACCCCAAAACAAAACAAAACAAAAAAAAAAAACAACAACACACCATAGAGCTAATACTCCCTGCACACTCTCTGAGGGTGCCACTGCCAACTCCTGTAGCGGATGTGCAATTACTCTTTATTCTATTCTCTTCAGCCAAAAAAGCATGTTCCCCAGAATCACATGTGCCCCCCCCCCCATCGCATCGCGCCCCCCTAGGGGTGCCCCACTATTTGAGAAGGACTGCCCTCATCAATAGTTGGTCTGACAGAGTCCACTTTTCTCTGTGAATGGTCTATGTATTTTTGGGTCCACTTTGTTAAAATTCCAGTCTTTGGATAGAGGTCTTTCATGACTGACTGCAAAGTGAGCTTAATAATTAAACCAGAGACCAATGTTGATCACAAAACACCACAAAAAAATTATCATACTTTAAAAACCTTAAAAAAAAAATGTTGTGTCTTTTAGTCAGACACATATATCATCACCAACAAGTGTCCAAAAAGTAAGGTTTTCAAATTTTATTGGCTGGCTTGCGACCAAACGCGAATGTGGTGCATAGTGCTGCATTTTCCTTTGCTCAACAATCTTATTCTGTTATTTTTACACACAGATGGAGCACTCTTCACTTTGTCATCGTCATGTGGCTGCCAGTGATGTTGGCAACGGTCGGCAGCCACCCTCCCATGCAGTATCAGCGCTTAATCGCTGACTCTCGCACTTACTTTCACATATATCCTCTCTTGTGTGTGTCTCATATTTACTCACATGAAACGTCTGTATCAGAGGAATGAAGAATGAGGACGTGAATGGAAACAACCAAAGATTTTGATTTTTACAAGGGAAACCAATATTTGTTGACATATATTGACATTTTGTGTTATAACAAAGACACACACGCACACAGAGAGAGAGAGAGAGAGAGAGAGAGAGAGAGAGAGAGAGAGAGAGAGAGAGAGAGAGAGAGAGAGAGAGAGCATTCACACTCACTGGCCTCTCTGTGTGGAGTTTGCATGTTATTCCCATGCTTGCGTGGGTTTTCTCCAGGAACTCTGGTTTCCTCCCACATTCCAAAAACATGCATGGCAAGTTAATGGAACACTCGAAATTGTCCCTAGGTGTGAGTGTGAGCGCGGATCGTTGTTCATCTCTGTGTGCCCTGCATTTGGCTGGCAACCGGTTCACAGGGTGTCCCCCTGCCTACTGCCTGAAGACGGCTGGGATAGGCTACAGCACTCCCCGCGACCCTCATGAGGATAAAGTGGATTGGAAAATGGATGGATGGATGGATATATATATATAGATATATATATAGATATCTATGTGTGTGTGTGTGTGTGTGTGTGTGTGTGTGTGTGTGTGTGTGTGTGTGTGTGTGTGTGCGCACGTGCGTTTCTTCAGGTGCGCACGTGCGTTTCTTCAGTGGCCTTGACAAGAATGTTTTTGTATCCTTCATGAAGGGAACATTTTCTTCAGTGGCTTTTCCGCTTGCAAGAACTCCAGGAATCGCATCATCATAAACATCTCACTGTGAACGCCCTCATCAGACATTGTGGCAGCTTTGACCTGTATTGATCGATCGATCTATCTATCCCCTTGTAAGTGCAAGATGGAGGAAGAATATACTGACTCATATTACTCAGTGAAACTGAAAAATTAAGCCTAAGGGACGTCTTGTTTCAAGACTGGAGCCACTTAAACCACCAAATGCATGTCTAAATAATATGCTTCACTTTTATGTAGCCAAATTATATTAGTCATTATTATCATGTTTGTAATTGTAATCTTTTTTTTTTTTTGTCAACTGTATATATTTTTTTCATAAATATGAATATATGCATATTATCATTTGAAAATGATGCAGTGTGATTTTCTTCTTTTTCTGAAGAAGGGCGATAAATCCATCCGTGATTGTTCTGGGATTTTCCCTTGACTGCGGGTGAGGAGCGTCCATATCGGGCCAATTGACATATCGCTAATATTCAGTGGCACCTGTGAACCTACTGTGCACTCAAGTCATTCTTTAGGTAGGTGCATCACAGTATTCATTATACTGTGATGCACCCCCCCCCCCGACTTCCCGACCCCACTCAAATACAAGCCATTGTTTTAATATAATTCTCTCTTCTTTTACAGGTTTCTTGCTGTGTATCTAGAATCAATTTTGGTGAATGTAAAACATGACTCAGACCATTTTTTTTCAAAATGTCTAACATTGTACACGATTAATCACATTAACACAAAACTGTATGGGGTGAAAGAGAGATTGGAGTGGTTTAGACAATTAGCACTCCCTTTTCATTTCACTATTTTGGCCAGTTCCTTATCATATTCTTCAGTCCTGGAATCAATGTCTCACGTTCATCTTATGTAAATCCAAAATCATTTCAGGTCAAGGAGGAGTTCAGGAGAATTACTACAATTCCCCATGAGCGGAAATTCCTGTCCAAACTTGACTTCATTGCCTTGATGAAGACCAAGGGAGGTACCATGGGGATCAAGCTGAAGCCTCCCGAGAACAAACTGAGTCACATGTGCTTTGTTCGAGTTTTGCAAGGAGACATCACTGTCATTCATGCAAGACAATGCCTCACACATGCATTTTGCAGTGGCGTGCGGTGAGGTTCATGGTTGGTGAGGCACTGACTCCTTTAGTGTCAGATTTACAAATATATAAACCAATGTGATATTGACCTCATTGCCTTGATGAAGACCAAGGGAGGTACCATGGGGATCAAGCTGAAGCCTCCCGAGAACAAACTGAGTCACATGTGCTTTGTTCGAGTTTTGCAAGGAGACATCACTGTCATTCATGCAAGACAATGCCTCACACATGCATTTTGCAGTGGCGTGCGGTGAGGTTCATGGTTGGTGAGGCACTGACTCCTTTAGTGTCAGATTTACAAATATATAAACCAATGTGATATGTGATGGCGGCGCGCGAGGGCGCAGCGGCCCGGACCTCTCTCCCTCGTCGTGGTTTTAGTTTGTCTCTTGTGCAAAAGCGAGGGTGGAGGCGGGGCCTGCTAGCCGGGCTAAGGAACCAGCCGCTCAGACCAGCGCTGCCAAGCATCTGCCTGACGAATGCTAGATCTATCGTCAACAAAATTGCCGAGATGGAGCTGCTGTTGTCAGACAATCGCTACACCCGGGACTCTAGCGTGTCTGTAATAACAGAGACGTGGCTACATTCGCTCATACCGGATGAGGCAATTCAGCTAACGCGCCGAACCACGCACCGCTTCGATAGAAACGACAGCTCCGGAAAGAAGCGAGGAGGCGGCCTATGCGTCTCTGTACATCAAGGCTGGTGTACAAACAGTAGAGTAATAAACACTTACTGTTCGCCCGATTTAGAGATGATGACGGTAATCTGTAGGCCATTCTATCTACCGAGAGAGCTAACTGTAGTGCTAATTACAGCTGTGTATATACCCCCCACTGCTAACGTAAACACAGCTCTTTCCAGACTTCACGACACAATATCCGGACAGCAGATGCAGCACCCTGAGGGTGCCATTATTGTGGCTGGGGACTTTAATCAGGCTTGTTTAAAAACTGTTTTCCCAAAGTTTGCACAATATGTAAAAGGCCCCACCAGGGGCAGAAACACACTGGATAGGATCTATTCCAACCTAAAGAGTGCATATAGGTCAATACCCCTTCCTCATCAGGGAATGTCTGATCACATCTCACTATTCAGTGTGCCAGCGTATAGACCCATCAGAATAAGAACCAAACCAGTCAGGAAAACTGTCAAAACCTGGCCCATAGATGCACTCAGCCAGCTCCAGGACTGTTTTGAAAATACGGACTGGACTATTTTTGATCACTTGGACTTAAATGAACGCACTGAGACTGTTTTATTTTACATTAAGACCTGCACTGACAATGTCACAGTGGATAAACAGATTAAAGTGTTCAAAAATGTAAAGCCATGGATGACGCGGAAAGTGCGGACTCTACTCAGGGCCCGGGATTCTGCATTCAGGGCCGGAGACCGGGAGCTGTATGCCGTGGCCAGGGCAAACCTGAAAAGAGGAATTAAACAAGCCAAAAGGGGCTATAAAGGGAAGGTAGAGCAACAACTGGCAGACAAAAATGCAAGGCAAGTGTGGCAGGGCTTACAAAACATAACAAATTACAAGGGCAGTCCACCAGAAGTAAGCGTAGATGCTTCACTGGCGGAGGAATTAAACATCTTCTTCACCCGCTTTGACGCAAAGGGGTCTCACTCTGCCCCTCTGACTCCACATCAATCCAGCACGCAGTCGCTACAGCTGAAGGAGCATGAGG